AAACGACCGGTTCACCGGAAAATAACCTTTTATAGGTTATTTGTGTTGATTAAGGTTTTATGATGTTAAAACCTTGTTAGGCACTTGTAAAGGGTATTTCAAGTGATTTCACAAAGTTGGAAAAGTCGCCGGAATTGCCGCCGGAGTTGACCAAAAGTCGCCGGAGTTTCACCGGAGTTCAACCAAGAAGGGTAAAACTTCATAACGCTAGTTCAAGGTGAGTGGACGGCTTAATATCTTATAACTTTTGGGTTAATTATGAGATTACCTAAATAAAAGTTATATGAGTTCATAATGATGTTTAAAAGATATTTAAACATGTGATTAGCCAATAGGGTTAAGTTTGTATGAAAGAAATTAATTGTTGATGCATGGAATATGATATGAAGAATTATATGAAATGCATATTTGCTTGAAGTATATTAGAAGCACAAATGAATATTATTAACTTAATTACATGATGATTAAGTTGATACACACAAGGCATGAAATGGCGGTCAACGAAAACGTGGACCGAAGAACAAAGGATTTAATTAATACCAGTTGGTATTAATTAATTATAAATCTATATAAATACATGGTTTGCATGGATTGTGATACATAAGATTTATGTATTGGATTAGTTATGAGTAACTAAGTATGATATAGACTCTATCTAGGTTGATATGAGGTTGATCATAGGAAAACTTGGTGGATGAACCTAGTACTTAAAAAGTACTTAACACTCAAAACTTGGTGGAGGACCCTAGTACTTAAAAAGTACTTAACACTCAAAACTTGGTGGAGGACCCTAGTACTTAAAAAGTACTTAACACTCAAAACTTGGTGGAGGACCCTAGTACTTAAAAAGTACTTAACACTCAAAACTTGGTGGAGAACCCTAGTACTTAGAAAGTACTTAACACTCAAAACTTGGTGGAGGACCCTAATACTTAAAAGTACTTAACACTCAAAACTTGGTGGAGAACCCTAGGGCTTATGAGTCCTTAACACTCACAAACCGGTGGAGTACCCAAGGATTATGATCCTAAAACTCATAGATTATGATATTGAAATAGCAACTAGGAGGAGTCCTATATACTCATAGGTATATGGGTGGGTTGGGGTTTTTAGTCAAAAATATTGACTATTACTATTTTTCCCAAACAAAATGGTGATCTACGGATCAGATATTTTCCAAGTATATATATACTAATAAGTATTTCATAACTTGGGGGAAAGACTATTTATTTAAGTATCACCCTATGTTTGGGTCTTATACTTGAAACGCTAGTTATTCTATATTTAGCCTGCTACTCGCTCGGTACTTGTTGACGTGCACTTTGTCGTGAGTGCACTCAAAATAAATTCAATACTAGCACTAATACGTAGTATAGCGTAGTAGAGTTCGTATCCACAGGGAAAGGAATAACTCTTCTTTTTATGTAACTAGTAAATAAAGGGGGGGTTTTGAGATTGAGTGATTTAATCAAATTAAACAAGAAGATGAACAAGTTATATGTGATTTAATTCAAAGATAAAAAGGACTTGGCATTGCTACTTTCCACTTGTTGATATATTTCAGTCGATCATTGTTATATCTATAACTTATCTCCTCTCGAATACTCAATCGAGGAGTATATCCAATTCATCGAGGAAAGTTATTAACAACGACCGTTCATTAATAACCCTTACTATTAGTCAAGTATAGAACAACGCCATATACCGACTTGATAGTAGCATTTAATCTCTTAACTCCTTGATGAAATCAATTGAGATTGATAACCTCAACACAACGGTTTCGGTTTAACCAACAAAATTAATCCCTCTTAAGTTTATTAACCACGACCGTGCATTAATAAACCGAAGTTACTTACTTGTGAAACCATCAACGATTAACCATCGGTTCGTTGATCGTTTCTAGTAATAATTAATATATGAAACAAAACTAGTTGATCCTTTAAGTAATGTTCAAAATATTAATATGAAATATGAATAGGAATTAATTAATACTCAAGGAAGAATATTAAAGAAAATGAATCCTACTATAGTTAATATCAAGATGTTAACTAATTGTCATCTTAGTAACACTCCCCAATATTAACATAGAGGAAGGTATAGCTATTACTAAGACCAATGTCAAGATGTTAACTAATTGTCATCTTAGCAACACTCCCCAACATTGATATAGAAATAGTATTTAAAGGAAGAATTAATATTCAAGGAAAGAAGTTAAGAAAATAACTCACAACTTTAATAATCAACAAGCTTCAAGAGCAACACCAAGAAATGGAAGTTTAGCTCCTCATTTGGAGACTAAACATGCTATAAAAATATAAAAGAAATACTATTCTAAACTGAGCTTAAGAGTATGGAAGAAGGGATGATTAAAAGTGAAGGAAAATGGGGCTATTTATAGGTGTTTTCAACACCCTGGGGCATTTACCCGACCGGGTAAATGGGCATACCCGACCGGGTAAATGTCAAAATCAAATATTTGCCCACGATTCCTTGTTTTTAGCACGTCGGATTGTCCCCGGTCAAGTCCCACCCGACCGGGTGGGGTAGTGGGCCCGACCGGGCCTAGCTATTTCCTTGCTAGTTCGGTTTTCACTTCCTACCCGACCGGGTGTGGGTTGATACCCGGTCGGGTTTTTGCTCCAGGGCAGTCAAATCTCCTTTTTCTTCACTTCAAAGTCTCCCTTCCCAACACCATAATTCCTAATTCTACTTTACAACTTACAAATGAGAACTAAAATACAATTACAACAAAAATCATACAAATGTTTACAAACTAAATAAAACGATAAACAATACACACAAATCAAACACAAAAACACACACTTATGCACTACTAATTAGTGCATATCACTTGTACTGACCCCTTCGGGGGGGGCGCCATTTTTAGGTTGAAGCTAGGGCTTGCTACTTGCACCTTTCTCACGGGTGATATCAAATCAGGGAGACGTGGTTCATGCTTCCTTATTTTCTTTCAAACTACCGAACACTTGTTCATGGATATTTGTTTTACTATAAACTATTTTTGGGGCTTGCATGCCATGATGTTGGCCGGTTGTGGCCCATGACTTACCGTTGAATATTTCCGCTATTCATTGGTTTAAATGTGATGTTGTTATGTATGTTTACTACTGAGTATGGATGGATTGTTTTCTCGAACGCCTTGTGTAATTAAGTGATGTTGACTCGTGGGTGACGTCACTTAGTTATACGGCGGTTGTACACGCGCTTGGATTGCGGTCTGGGGCGTGACATAAGTGGACTTCCCGAAAAGGTAAAACGTGACAATATAAATGGAACAGAGGGAGTAATAATAATGAAATACCCACTCATCCTAGTTTAAGGTTCTCATGTGTCATTTTTAAACGTTTTAGCGAAATGTTCTCATTTCAATTTTAGGAAATAATTAACACTTTTAAATGAAAAACATAATCACCAAATATTAAAAATAATACATATACTCCGTATAACATTACAATTATCATCATTCACATCATTATATTATATGCTTATCAAAACTATTTGTTAAAAAATGCCCGAATTAATGGAACGACTTGTTTATTACGGTAATATAATAATATTACCGTAATAAATATGAAATGGAATCGCAGTGGTAATAGCATTGCGATATATTAGGCGGAGTTGCCTTACCGCCTAATAGAATACTTTATTTTATTCATACGTTATATGCGATGATTTATAGTACCAATTAATACATAATTTAAAATTCGTGTCTCGAAATCCCATTTTGATAAACTAATGCACATACTATATTGGATGATGTCGAAAATTATTATCATATACACATATACTTCATACTCATATGGTATATTATTAGTATTAATTAATGATGACAATTACTTTTTTGGAAATTAATAATTATTTTTAATTTATAGAAACGTGGTGAAACATATGAAAGAGTAAGGAATACATAATTTGATAAAAAAAAAAAAAAGTTATTAATAAGACAATTGGCACTATTGGTTGATTCGAGCCCGTTTGGTAATACTCAAATCGGAACTATTGGCTGATTCTGCTGAAAATTTATGAAGATTTGGTTTAAGTGGTTGCATTAGCTGATTTTGTTGACATGTGAAAAAAATTAAAATACATTTAAATAATGAAATAAAGAAAAAATTATGTGAAAAATAATTAAAATGATCTTATACAGTAAATTCAGTCAATACAACCAGAAAATTAACTACAACCTTGCTTTTTATTATTATTACACAATTTTCACGCAAAATAAAAAAAAATACATGTTTGGTGGAAAAGTTGACTAATAAGCCAGAAATCGGGATCACCAATCGCTCTCTTCATCTTCGAATGACATGTGACTATTCATTTTAGGATAGTTTCTTTTGGACTGAAATTTGCTGGTCTTGTCTGATCTGGTAAACGCTGGTCTCTGTTTATTTTATAACTACGGAAATCAAGTCTGGTCTGGTCTGATTTGATCTGGGACTGAAAACAGTCCAAAAGAAAACATCCTTAGTAGCATGGCATGTGGCGAATATTTCCTTTAAAATGACTCCCAATTGTACATAGGTTTTTTTTTTTGAAAGGGTACAATACATAGTTAGGATTCAAAAGAATACACAGTGAAGAGCAGCAAAATTGTGGCCTAACATTTCATGGTTTTACTAATAGCTTTTTTTGTTCTAAAGGGTTAGGCATAAAGAATAAAAAGTAAAAGAGTGTCCATTAATTTGTAAAATTGTGGAAATTGTTTTCATAATAAAAAATAAATGATACTCCGTATCCTCGTTGCACGAAAAACTAATAGGGGCAGTTCTTATTTCTTCTGGGAGCGTCCCACTAAATAAAATATTCTGGGAGCCATACATGATAATATTGAAAATTAGCATAAGGTGAAGCAAAGATTTAGAATGGATTTACTGTTTGTAAATACCATTGTAGTATCTATTTGTATATGATTATGAACACTTGCATTTTAAGGCCTATACATTATTAATTAGAAGTACAAGTATTATTGAACATCCGTTTCATTTTGAGGAACTTTTTTGTTTATATGATTGCTCAGTAACTGTTCGAAGTTATTTCTTCAACAAATCTCTTCCCAATCTTCTATCAACGAAACAATAAAACGCCGTAAGTAGAGAAATGAAGTTTCATTAATAGCTAATCCAACGTTTACAGAGCAGAAAATATGAGCCTTTATCATTTTGCCCGGAATTACAAACAAATCCACAACTATATATGTTGCTGTTTAAGCCGCAACCTTCTTCGGAGACTTGCCGGCCTTCTTAGGTTCCTTACCGCCGGCATCGGACTCTTTCTTCTTCGGTAGCAAGACAGGGTTGATGTTCGGCAACACGCCGCCGTGAGCGATGGTTACTCCGCTCAGCAACTTCCCGAGCTCTTCGTCGTTCCTCACGGCCAACAGAACATGCCTTGGGATGATTCTGTTCTTCTTGTTATCCCGGGCCGCATTTCCGGCGAGCTCCAAAACCTGTAAACAACAAAACACCGCATCAAATCAGACGACGGAGAACGGAAATCTAGAATAACCCACGAAAAATAGAAAAACGGTGGCGGGATTGACGGAAAATGGATTAGAAACTTACTTCGGCGGCCAAGTATTCGAGAACGGCGGCGAGGTAGACCGGAGCACCGGTTCCGACACGTTGGGCGTACCGGCCCTTCTTCAGGTAGCGGCCGATTCTTCCCACCGGGAATTGAAGTCCGGCGCGGACGGAACGAGTGACTGACTTCTTCTTTGGGCCACCTGCTTTCCTTCCGGCGGCGCCTTTCTTAGTTTTCGTCGGCTGACTCTCCATTATAAGATATTTAGAAAAGCGGTGAAGGATTGGATAGGGAGAAGAGAGATCGTTGAAATGGCGTGAATTTGAGATGTGAAGAATTCGGCTTCCGCCTTTTGTTTTATAGCTGACTCAGAGTCTGTGGCTGGTTGGTGAAGGTCGTTCGATTGTTGATTTGGTGTTAATCAACGGTGGGGAGGGCCTGTGGTAGTGATCCACGTGCTTTCGAAGGGCCAATAAGGAGCGGGCTTGAATTCACAAAGCTTCCCGCCTAAACTTTCGTTATTTTCGAAAGTTATTTGAAGGGTGGGAAATTATTATTGCGATTAGTGGACCCATATTCATCCCAATCTGAAATATAAAAAAAAAAACATGGTCCCACTAGTATGGTTGGTTTCGTTTTTATGATAAAATGTTCATATTAAAATATTAAGAAATACTACCTCCGTCCCCCTATGTTTGGTACAAGAGAAGGTGGCACGGTTATTAATAAAGGTGAGTTTATGTGGTTGATATTGAATTGATAAAGTAAGAATAAAGTAGGAATGATTTAGAACCACACAAACTTTACCAAATAAGGTATGGGACAATCTTAGTGGGACGGACCGAAATGGTAAAATGGGACAATCATAGCGGGACGGAGGGAGTATCACATTAGTATAGCTTTTCGGTAAATTTCTTTCTGACGCGAAGGTGATTTTCGAAGGAGGGCGAGCCGATACAATATGCATGAAGACTAACTTAAAAAAACACGTTAAAAGCATCACTATGATTCACAACAAGTAATGTCGTCCCAGTATGTCAGGAATAGTCATCAATAATAACACATGTATATCGAGTTTTACATAGATTTGTGGCACCAAATGGACCAAACAGAATGATATGAACAGGTTTTTTAGGGTGATATGTCACTACTTTAGTGGTTGGTTTGAAAGAGGTTTGTGATGTTTCCACGTTTAAATGCATCATATAAATGAACCTCGGATTGACTTGTTTTTGGAAACTAGTGACAAGATTTTCAAAAGATAGTTTTGCAATAAATCAAAGCTAGTGTGACCCAGCTTTCTATGCAAAAAAGTGTCATGACGAATATAAGAAACACAAGTTATGTTGGCATTTTTCAAATCGTTGCAATCAATTTATAGAGGTTACCATCTCACTAAGTTTCAAATACAATGGTATCCCTGTCATTTTCAATGAAGACGAGATACACGACTTCGAATTAGAAAGTACTTAATAAGCTTCGTTACATAGTTGATTAATACTCAACAAATTAAATTTAAGATCATAAAAAAGCATAAGATCTTTTGTCGAAACTCCACTAGAGTTTTGAATCATACCTTTGCATGTTACATTTTCCTTTGATATGTCTGATAGATTCACATCTTTGTGATGTTTGTGTTTAAGATTTTTGAACCAGTCATGTATGTGTTTCTTATCATCAAACTATCAATGATCCAGATAGTGTTTTGATTTTCATGTGAGTCTCTTCTTTTCACAAATTACCATGTGACAGATTTTTTGTTTGATATTGCCATATGAGTGCTCAAGAAGCTTCCACGTTTATTTGCCTAATTTACACTTACATATTCTTTTCATTCTCTTTTATCAAGAGTACAAAGGATAATCTTCATTGCTTAGATGTGTTTGTCTTCAAACGTGTTAAAGCCATGAACTTCATCTAAAACAATAATCCAGAAGTCATAGTCAATGGGTTGTAAAAGGATTTTCATCTATGATATTTAATAGGAATAATTAACTCTATTGAAAGAAGGCGGAATGAAAGTGTTTTGTGAAAGATCAGAATTCATTGAGAGGATCCCTTAGAGTAATTAAACTCGTAGAGTAAGGACATGCTTTGATATCAATGGAAAACATTGATATACGCCCTGTTGGGGATGAATTATGTGCACTCCAATTTCATTTGTGTCTGAAACTTATTGCTTGAATCACAGCAAGATAAAATCACAACCTCACTTATCAAGAAATCGGTAAAAGAGGAGTCTAAACACTCGATTGTAAACTTCTAGTTAGGTTAGGAAGGATACAATAGTGTCTGGAACTCATTTGAGTAATTTAATCTGTTGTGGACGCTTTCAAAAATTAAAAGCTCAGTGCAATAGTTTCCCTAGAGTCATGGATTTATGTGAATACTTATAACACAAATAAACACAATGTAAATTAAATAGAGAAAAGGCGAAGATGATGATGTGATTTCTATTGGTTTGATAATCCCTACACTAGTATCTAGAGGTACCCCTTTAGGATTTCAGAATCAACTATTCTTCGATCTCCTTGAACTTTGGCTAAACACACACTTTGGCTAACCTGATGATTTTTATACTCTCACCAACTTGTGGATTCGCATGCTCTCCTTAATCTTTGAGAATTTGTAGGTTCTCATTGACCTATGGATTTGGTCTCGGATCTCCTTTAACGTTTACAATAAAGAATTTGCTTAGGATCTCTCGACCTTGCATTGTCTTCTCTCTTTGGTTTGGTTTGGTTTGGTTTCGGATTCACATGCTCTCCTTGATCTTTGATTAATATGAATGAATAATGAACATGATTGATGAAGGTTGTATGATGTACTCTATTGAAAGCAACTACAATAGAAACTACAAAGGTAAGTGTATATTAAAGATTAAGCAAGACAAGAGAATAGATGCACATGCTCTAAGTGTAGCCAGATATGGAAAATGAAGAACATGTGCATGCTTAATCTAATTAGGCTTTATCTAATTAGGCTTTGTGTGTCTTAATACTTTATATAAAACTTATATGAGGAGCTGTTCTATGGCTAGAATATAAAAATTGTGTACGAATGAATTTACAAGTATTCAAAAAAGTCTCACCGAGAAGTTGAGTAAGGGGCTTATATAGGTGCGGAAAATTAACCAATAAGGTAACCTATTAATGGAATATTTTAGGCACCTAAGCGTTTCCTTTTTATATTAGAAGGCTCGTAAAGCATCTTCAGACTTCAATGCCACAATATTCACTGTGCACATGTGACATTAGAGAGATAGACACAAAAGATTACACCATGACATTTCTCTCTCTTTCTTTACACGATCTTATGTGTTTTTGTTAATTTTTCTCAACAATGTCAACCAAAAATAATTTAAAGTGGGAAGAGATACCTTTTAAAAATAATTTATGTGATGATGTGATCCACTCGTACTTCCATGGCATGTGAGTCGTGTGGGTCTCATTCTATGGGCCTCTTCCTCATCTTTGAACCTTATGTAATTACGTCCATGAGTCATATGAGTCATAATACTCACTATGTCGTCACTCATCATCAATGATTGATTCAATTTCATGATTACTAATGATGTCATTTACTGAAACCATGAGAGGGGGGATTGTAGTGATTTGGCATAGGAGAAAGATAGAGACAGAATGCATACTTTAAATGAAGTGTTGTGTAGGGAAAAATTAAAAAGAGAAGAGGGATTGAGATACAAAGTAGACGTAGGTCTATGACAAGGTCCATAAACAGACCTTACATGGGATTCGGGGAGGAAAAGTTGATGAAGAATGAGTTAAAAAGATATAAGAAATGAAAATGAAAACAAATTAGGAAATAGTGAAATACGCGGGCACATAAAAATTGTGAGATAATAATGGGACTCATGTGTAAGAGTGTGTAAGAGACCACACCCTTGCATTGGAGATGCTCTTAAGTTTCCAAAATAGTTATCATCAGTCTTGTTTCGGTCATTTATTAGAGTTTGATCACACCTATATGACAAATCACATCCTTGTTATTTTCTCAACAAGTTTTTTTAGGATACTTTTTTCACCTCGCCAAGTTAAAAATGCAATGATTATTTTCTATTTTGCTTTGTAGTTCCTTCCGCATTAGTGTAAGAAAAAAAATAAACCCCTTAAATTTGTTTATTTTGCCTCACATGCTCAATAGACCCTTTGCATTTGGATGATACATCACCACCAATGCACCTAAATCATTGGACCCTCCCCGATAGAGTATTAATTCTAGAGAGAAGTGAGAGCTAGAGAGAGAAAGTGAGTAATTATATTTCTCAACCCCCTATAACTAGCCCCAAGGGGTCTATTTATAGGTAAAAATGTGGATTTGGGCTCCTAGCCATGGGCTTAGGAGGCCCATTACAATAATCATGCCTTCTTTGGGCGAAATAGGGCCACTAATGGGCTGTGTACAATACTTAGTAAATAAAGTAGAGAGATGCACTCTGCCCGGACGAAGCCGGGCCGATGCGGTGCCTTTTGGCCGATGCGGTCTCATGGCCGATGCGGTCCATGGGCCGATGCGGCCCCCGGAGGCCCACGCGTGCTTCTTGGGCCGGTTCGGTTTCTGGCCGATGCGGATCCACTGGCCGAAGGGGCCACGTGGGTGTTCTTCTGGTCACCGTTGACTTGAGTATGTGGGCCATAGGGTCCAGGCCCATATACTCTATCAGGAGTCCCCCACTCTCTGAGCTGAGGCGAAGCCGAAGCGAAAGGGAGTACTTGTTCCTTTCTGGCTGGTCGTTGCGTGAGCTCGAGGTGCTTGGTGGCCGAAGAGGTTCTGCTTTGATTTTGAATGAGGCGGCTTCCTTGTGTGAAGGAGACGAAGCGCTCTCGGGGATTCGTGGCCTTGATGCGGGCCGATGCGTTCTTTGTGAAAGTGTTTTTGAGGACGAGGCGATGCGCTTTATTTTTTCCGTAGATGTGAATTCTGATGGAAAACTGGCCTATTTCATTATTATCTGTTGGGGCCGAAGAGCTCCCTCGTAATTATGAAGTGAAGATGATTGGGTCTGTCTATGGACGATGCGGGCCGCACACCTTTGACTTGCCATGCAGCCGAAGCGTTTTGACCTGTGGTTTCTTGCTTTGGTGAGCCAATGCGATCCCCCCATTGTGCGCAGCCGTTACGCGCCAGATTCTGCGTTTTGGGTTTCTAATTTCTGGGCTCTGTAGCCGATGCGATCCTCAGCGCTATTGAGGTGATTTGTTTGTCTTTGTTGTTGGTGAGTCGCAGCGAATTCTTTGCGTATTGAGGCCGTTGCGCTCTGACTTATGCTGCTTTCCTTTTTCTGTAGCCGATACAGTCCCCCAGTCCCCCACTCCTTTGGCCGAAGAG